AATTTCCCCAGCCTAACTGGCAGCCTAACCGGCACTAAGCCTGCGTGCTTCTTTGGGGGACTCAGGTCGAGATCGACCAGTTGTAGCAAATCTCTCTTTTGCTTAGCCTCTGTGCTCCTGCCGTGTTCCCTGTGCCAGTTATGCGTTGTCAGAGGTTTATTTATTAGTTTCCCCAGCCTAACTGGCACTAAGCCTGCGTGCTTATTTGGGGGATTTAGGTCGAGATCGACCAGTTATAGCAGTTTTTCTTTTTGCTTAGCCTCTGTGCTCCTACAGTGTTCCCTGTGCCAGCTATATGTTGTCAGAGTTTTATTAATTAGTTTCCCCAGAATAACTGGCAGCCTAACTGGCACTAAGCCTGCGTGCTTAACTGGGTGATTCAGGTCAAGAGCGACCATTTGTACCACGAGTTTTTTCTTTTTGTGAAAGCTAGTTTACGAGTGTTGTACATTAGGTATTCACCAGTAATCACCTATTATTGTATTTACATAAGTACTTTGTAGGGTTGGTTCTCGCCAAGCCGTCCCAAAATAAACTTATTTGCCATTACGTTTTGTCTGTTAATGTTGTGTAGTGGAGTCAAAATCGAGAATTTGTCAGAAACAACTCAGCTTAAATGGTCCAAAGTGGTACTGATATGCAATATAACTGAAAATAGATAAGACATAAAAATAAAAGTATCGTGATAACATTTTGTTTTAATTTGGAAAACCTGTTGCCAAAAAGAATACATCCTCTTCAACTATCAAAGAGATTCCAATACAGTTTTAGAAGGAATAAAATAAAACAAAATAAAACAAACCTGAGCGAATACTAAAATGTATCGGAGTAATATAACAAAACAGTTCAGGTATAACTCTTATACCTGGGTCTGAATTGACTTAAAACTGCCGAATAGCATAAAGCTTATTAAATTTATAATTTATAATTTTCTTGCTTTTACTCACCGAACTTTGACAAGACTAGAAAGCAATTTAGTGCCCCTGAAAAGGACGCAAACACATACAACTTTTCATAATCTTTTGTCCTCAAATCCAAATGACTTGTGTTCTTTGATTTAACCGCATACAACATTTTCTCAAGTTGTGCTCCATCATCTCTTGATATTACATCTAAAATTTCGTCCATTATCAGTTGAGTGGAAATGCTCGGAACACTACCTACAAGACTCGTTCGCTTATTATGAGACAAAGGCGTCTTTTCACTCAAAACGTGTGGAAAAACGTATCAGACGCTTTTAAGGTTTTATGACAGAAATGAATAATTTACAAGTGAATCGCGTATGGATACTATTGAATATCCTCTTTGTCTCATTATTATTTTTTTTTAAACCCTTATTGTTTCACCACCTGTTTGGCGCTATAATAGCCTCTACCATGGTCATAAAACTTGTTTGAAACTTTCCAGTGAGCTGCGGGACCTTGCGGCAGTTGTTTGCATTCCGACTAATATTTTAAACAAATAGAAACACCGCGGCCATCAGAAGTAGATTTGGCTAAGTTTGAGTATTTTGCCTGACATTCTTTAGTTTACGGAAGCGACCAGTTGGTCGCCGAGCAAAACTGCTACACGTCCTGTACTGAATTAAAGCCATACAAAATTTGGCGAAGACTCTAACTTGCATTTAAAGGTTATCTCTTCGCTTTAGGCTATGGAAGCCGAGTTCCCGCAAAGCAGAAATCCTATCGAATGGGATACCCTTGTCTGATTAGTCAGTGCCAAGACTGTCCCCAGCCCCCCCCCTCACCCATACCCCCCCATCCCCAAGCGGTTTTGTCACGCCAATGTCTGACTGAACCTCTTCAGTTAAATTCTGATGGTGTAAAGCCTTGTTCTTTAGTCAAATGTATTTCAAAGCCACTTTGCCCCCCTTGTTTCATGTTTCATAGTCGATTGCAATATGATTGAAACAAGAAGCGAACTAGCAAAGTACTTTAGGCTAAGTTCACACCACGAAAAGCTGTTCAGTATAATATGAACACCTATCCGATAATGTGACCCTACACTTACAATAAGAGATCGGCGCGGCGCACTTTTGCTTGGTTACAGAAATCGCCCTGAAATCACAGTTCTTAAGTGTGATCAGAAGGCCTATCAGGTATGGTTTGCAAGCCGGCGCAAGCTATGCGGTATAGCCGTGTGAACTTAGCCATTAGTCTCAGTCGGTAATTTGCTCTTCTGAAACTTTCCCTTACTAAAAAAAAATTACAAACAACCAGTCAAAGACAATGTTTTTCACATAGCTAAAACCTTTATCAAAAGTATTCAACTCTTTACCAAAGTTAAAGGTAAAAATAAGCAGCTATCATATATAGCCATCTCTAATAAATTGTTAGTCAATAAGACAAGAAACGGTTTATTTTATAAAAAGGAGTGATGCACTGAACGTATTATTGTACCACAATACAGAGTTAAGAAACATTTACATAACCGAACGTAAGAAGTTCCCTAATAAGCGACCGGCCTCGATTATGTCCGATCCATCACCTCGTGCGAAATAGGCCTCACAATGGTCTGAATTTTCAAGGCGGTCTTTCACGTTATCCTCAACTGTAATAAGAATGTAGCAATGCTATTTACTAACTTACAACGTATTTGACACACAAGTTAAAACTATGTTCATTTTTTAAAAAATGCTACACTTTATCGTTAGAAATACTGAGTTATTTTACAAATTAGTTTGCTTTGCAAACAAACAGAATTAATCCTCTCAATACTCTGTGAGTAAAACCTCTCGTATACATGTATTTTACTTTTGAATTGGTTAAGAGCAAATTCTGGAAGCGTAAATGTTCACGTGAATAGGCTAACCCTCTCCAAATAATCTTTTTATTATGTTTTGAAAAAGTGACAGAACATTGAATTAAAAGCCTCGGAAATAAGTTCTGAATATTTCTGGAGTGGACTGAATCTTTTTCAGCGTATGACTCGGAAGGAAAAAATGCGATGAAAGAAAAACCGAAAGTTGTTTCAGCGAGTCTAGCACAAAAAATTATACCTTTAAATTATTTCAACGTACTAAACGAAACCCTTTACAGTCATCTGCCTGTGAAAGATGAAGAAGACATTACATTACGTATATTTTTATATAAACGTTTGACGTTTGAAATTTTTTCTAACGGCTGTTGCCAAGCAACTTTAACCTGGGGACAATATATATACAAATGGTTCTTAAGGCAAGGTTAACTCAACTAATAATACCACATAGACGATTACATTGTGAGGAAACAGGCATTACAATTTTTCTCAAACATCCAATTATAACTGCATGCAAGCCACAGAGTATGCAAGAATAAAAGAAGCCACATCCGACAGAAATGGGATCACCGATGTACATGTTACAACGGCTCTTACATGAACTTCCATTACGGGGCTTGAAGTTCAAGTGTCTGGCCACTGTACCATTAATTGTAGTGCATTCAAAACTATTGTAAGTGGACAGGTAGAAACGAAAGGGTGGAGAAACCTTGTAGGCAAAGCAAAACACTGTAAGGTATTGTACTGTTTGCAAGGTACTCGCGTATAGACTGCTTTATAGACAAACGTTATCCAATTGTGGTGCCTCGTTAGTGGTGAACAAACCACTGGCAATCTTCCCATGGACTGAAAAAATGGAATACCCATATGGACTGCCTTTTGAATAGACTATGATGGTAAGTACATGAAGTAACTAACAGTAAAATTATTCAAAGGCAGTCCGTATGAGTAGTCCATCAGGTCAGTCCACGAACTGGGGGTCAGTGCTTTGTTGACCACAGCTTAGTTGTGTCTGGGAACTGCATCTAGAACAGATACTTTGTAAGCACACTGCAACATGTTATGTAATCTGCACTGCAGGCCTCATTGACTAGCAGTAGGGCTGATTTTATACTCTAAAGAATTCTACAGAAGAGAGCTGTTTGTCTGAAAACATTTACTGCTACTGGATGCTTATTCAACTACATACAGAATAGCCTGGTTCCCCGTCCCAAGTCCAGCACTCCGCTCCTGAAATGGCCTTTTTCTCTCACTATGGGGCCTGGTCCCAGGCTACTTGAAGGGGTTCAAAACACAAACATGTGAGTAGAGCACTATATCAAATCAAGTGACATCCTAAATCAACATGCCATACTGTGATGGGACAAGACATTACAAGGTTTCAAGGTGCAACTCTTGAAGCATGCGACATACAGACTCTGCCATTGCATCATTTCCTCGCAGAGAATTGATCTCTTGTTCAGTTCTCTCAATATCTTCTTTGGAAGCAATAACACGATACTGAATCTCTCGGGCTTTCTTTAAATTCTTCAATGCTTCTTGTGTGGATCCTAACTCCTTGAGTGCACTGCCCAAACCATAATAAGCTCTGGCTGTGTCAACATTATCATCACCTGAAAAATTCAAAAAATTGATAGCAGGATTGGGTTAGGGAGTTGTAAAGTGTGTAATGAATTAACATATGCAAAACATGTTTTATATGTATAACATAATCCAAGAGAGTCTTAGATTCTGGATTCCATGCTGTGGATTCCAGTTCAAGGACTCTGGATTCCTTGTCAGTGTAACTTGGGTTGTGGATTCCTTAATTCCAAATCCCAGGATTCCGATTCCACAAGAAAAAAATTCCCAGATTCTGGATTCCATGGGCAAAAATTTCCCGGATTCGGGAATTTGGATAACATTTCACAGGGCAAACGATACTAAAGACCCATGAGATTTAATACAAACAAGATAAATCATTAACTAAGAAAATCAAGCAGTGGTCATGGACAAGCAAGATGCAAGAGCTGCTTGCCCAAAGGACAAGTCTGAAATCAAGTTTTCTTTTAATCCCTGATGTTTAATAATTTACCTTAAAGTTATAACATTTTAATATTACATGTTATGAGCAGGTTATTAGAAAAAATTAAGGTGTTTATATAATGCTTCCATTTCAAAACTAGGAATCTTGCATACCTAACAGTAAGTGTCTCATTCTAAGAGATTCTTTATTCAAAGCAACAGCTCGCTGAGGTTTACCAAGGGCCTGATAAATTTTACCAATGTGATCCAACAGTGAGGCAGTGAAGGGGTGCGTACCCAACAGCTCACGGTACTTGACCAAACATATATTCTCCCAAATATTGAGAGCTGCCTTGTGCTGGCCGCTTGTAAACAAGGCCACTGAAAAATAGGAAAACCCATAGTAAGAATATATTGTCATGTATAAGAGGGACACACTATAAAAAACAAGGAAAATCATCTGAAAAAAAAATCATGATGACCACTGAAAAATGGTTCTTCTCGTTAGTTTTTACTTGATACAGTCAATCAAGGCAGGTCAAGCATACCCTCCAAGACTCTGTTAATGAATTGATTATAATTATTTTGAAAAATGAATCCACAAGTCGTTCCCATAACTAGTGTCAAATTCAAATCGGCATTCCTGCATGCATAAAGAGCAGTGGATATTTTATGAGAACTTCTTTTTATTTGGTCAGATTGAAAATCTTTGAATGGATAAAATTGCTTCTAAGACATATTTATCAATACAGAGAAACTGAGCTAGCAGAAATTTCATAACTGCCTTATGTGTTTCACAGTTCATTACACATGCAAGAATGCAGAAAGGAATCTGAAATCTACAACTACAAATTAATTCAACTTTTGAATCATAATAAATTGATTAATGGCATCTTGGGGGGTATGCTTGACCAGGCTTGACTGTGATATAGAACTAAACCTTTTCTAGTGAGAGTACTGATGAGTTCATAGAGTAAAGCCTTATGAAACTCTTGATATTGTGTATAATACTTTGTCCTGTAATTTGTTGTGCAACAACAAAAAAGGCCAAGTAGCAGGAAAACCTTGCAGTTTATCAAAAGTCACCAGATGCAGGGTGCAAAGAAAGTCAGATTTACAACTTGCCATGCAGGCAAGCTGTAGCCAGCATAAACTAGCCAAAAAGTAATTTCAACTAGCTCACAAAAATTTTTTGATGCGCACTAATTACAGTTCTTCTCTGATATTTGAACTCCCCCAAAAACTACACTTGCTCATTGCAGTGAGTTAACAAAGAACAGAATTCACCAGCTCAATAGTAAAATCTACTAGCCCCAGGGTATCGGAGACTACTTTCTTTGCAGGCTGGTCACTGATGGCCTTTATACACAAAAATCTGTACCCTTTGAGTTTCACCTGGGAAAAATTCAGCTAAAGCCATTGATATGGGGACAACATGTTGCAAGTCCCCATTTAAGTCCTACTAGCTGCAGATTAGTTTCTTATTTGACCCAAGTTTAACTTCTTGATCATGGCACATGAAAATAGCCAACTGCGTTGTCTCTGACTCATTGGGATTTTAAATCATGTTTATTGGATCACAAGTCTTTTGTCTAAATATGATTATCTGAGTGGAGTGCTTGTAAACTACATATAACTTCAGTAGCACTTTTACTATAAATCATATACTTAATTTTGGAAAAATCATTTACATCTGTAAAAATAAGTACTTACTTCCCAGGTCACAGAATCCACCAGCTAAAAGCATCCGTTCCATTTTTCCTGAGTGATTAGAGCGCACCAACTTGCGACGCACACCAATACCTTGTGCAATGAGGGAGATGCCCTTCTTTCTGTCTCCAGCAAGAAAAGTGCAAAGCCCTAGCTTACACTTGCAGTGACCTTGACATTCTGTGTCATAAATTCCAAGATCAATTTGCAGATCATGTGCCTTTTGAAGGTTCATTTTGGCTGTTGTGCGATGGGCATCTTTGTAGCTATAGTAACAAAGCTGTTTGAATCCAATGGACACAAGGCACTCACTGAAAAGAGTTTTGTCAGGCAACTTTTCTGCAACCACCAGAAACTTGTCATATGTTGATATAAATTCATCCTGGTTCATGACTTTTGCCAGGAAATTCACAGTCTCTGTTGACACGTTAATTCCATAACATTTTAAAACTTCATCCTCTGTTGATGCTGAAAGGGCATGAGAAATGTTTACTTTGTTCATCTGATACTTGTCTATCGCAACCTTGCAGTTAGTGGTAATGAAATCATCATTCAGTTGTTGTAGAAGAGCGAGATAATGATACGAGAAAAGCCTGATTGCCATATTGTACCCTTTACACTCATCCTCTCTGCATGCAATGCAAAATGCTTGCACCAATGGATGCAAACTGTACTGCTGATGATTGTCAACTTCTTCTTCCTGAACCACTGAGTGAGACACTAAACTGTTCAGTAAGATTTGAAAATCAAAGTAATCATCTTTGCAAAACAAAACATTCTTTGCATCCATTTTGGTGAAAACAGATGGAAATGCAGCTAGCCAAGAAAGACCCTTTTTCACTTCAGGTCGTAAATGGTCGTAGAAAACCTTAAGAAGGGAGAAAAATTCTTGAATGTTAGGATCCTTTACTTTCAGAAAACCATGTGGACAGTTTTTAAGCTTTCTGTGAAGATCTATGGGATCGATTGTCTTGCTTTCCAAGAATGATGCTGTCAATTTCAAAAACAAAGGAACACCACCACACACCTTTTGGTTTGCAAAATGTCTTGCAAGCTGGTCTGAAATGTTAGGAGCATAATGTTTCAGAAAGAAAAATGATGCTTCATCATCTAAAGGCTTCAGAGGAATGCGATGCTTTTTGAAAGGAAAATCAAACACTGACAATGGATTCCTGCTTGTTATTAAAATAACAAGATTTTTTCCATGTTCACCAACTACCTCCAAAAACTGCTTACAGGCAGGCTTGTCTGCATTTTGCAAGTCCTCAGCATTGTCCAGGACTAGCATGGTTTCTTTTTTAAGGGATGAGACTAAACTTTTTACTTGCGCGACAGGATCCCTGTCAACTGGGATGCCTTTCACCTCGAGCAACCTCTTTGCCGCACCTTCTACAGAGTCCACTGTTCTTAAGGAAACATACAAAACATCTTTTCCCTTTTCTAGCATCTCATGGCCTACAGTAATCGCAATAGCTGTCTTTCCAAATCCAGGTGGAGCAATCAGAGATACGAGGGTTGTTTCTAGAGAAGTCAGCAGCCCTGAGATTGCCTCACAAACATCTGACCTGCCAACAAATTTAGGAACCTTGTTTGGGAGACCAAATGACCTTGATTGGCTTAAATTTGCTCCTGCGCTGGATTCTCCTATAAAATAATACCAAGGGATGCATATAATATTTGCATGGTAACGTTATATTATAGTTCATTCAAATGCAATTCAACTTGTAGATACCCTGGAACCCCAGGTTACACCCCTGTTCTCAATATTACTGATGAAATCAAATGATGAATTAACCAACCCTGGTATATAGTGGTAAGGAATATCCCTCACAAGCAAAACGAGACAGGTTTGAATTTTTTTTGTTTGTATTTTGTTGTTGTTGTTGTTGTTTTTTTCTTACTTTTTATCTTTCTTGGCTTCTTTCCCTTTAATCCCTACTGTTCACCATTAACCGGAGCCTACTACAGTACTGTAAGTTCTGCCCATACATGTACTGTATTTTTTAATAGTAAATCATATTCTAATATTCTTTATTGTCCATACATTTAATTTGCCACTCTACACCTTGTTGTTCAATAATCAAGATAAAAACCATCTATCTGAACTGTCTGTCCAAAGGCAAGCTACAATAGCCTCCCACTAGCCTCCAAAGTAGGCAAGCTACAATCCTGGACAAAACTACTTGAGAAAGTTTTCCCCATCATGTCCACTTTCCTACGCAACAAAACTCTTTCCAAAACGACGCCTTTGCAGAAAGAAAACCCCTTCCCCAAATTCAATGTTGCTTCCCACAAACGCCCAGGGATCAGGCTATCTTTTGAATACACAACAACAATGCTTTCAGGGGAAGGGAGAGAGGGAAGAACCGGTACAGCTACGATGTTTAGAAAAATGCTGTCCAAGTATACAATTTTCTCAACAGTTTTGTCCAAGATTGTACCTTCCCATGTAGCCAAGCTACAATCTCAGACAAAAGTAGTTGGGAAGGTTGTACAACTTAACAGTAGTTCATTTCAATGTTCAAAAAGATGGTTTTCCCTTTTACTATTAACCTCCATCCACGCACATTCAATGTTGGGACCATAACGGAGCACAAACATCAGAGTTTTTTTCAACATTAGGCTGGGAGTGGGGGGAGAAAGAAAAACAAAAGGGGGTCAAAAGTAACTGCCTTCCCAACACTTTTGATGTTATGTTTATTGTTCAATGGTCTGGAACTTGCTCTCCCTGTTCCACTTTGCTAAAGACCTTGTCACAGTTTTCGACGCCATCTGGACGTGTAGGCAAACGCGTGAGAAATTACAGTGATTGTATGAGAATCTAACGTCGAATAATTTCCGTAGAACGGCTGTTCTGAAAAAAATATGATTTGTAAACTAAAGCTTCACTCCTAAGGATTCTCCTGAAAAAAATTTGAGGGCGTCACATGCACTAGAAGACCTAGAACCACTTTTTAAAATTTTCTATACATTTGTCTGTAAGAAAGTCCCGGGAAAATTACGGACAAATATATGGGAAATCTAAAGCAAGCCTCTGGAGAAATTTAAGCACAGGTAAAGAATTTTTTTAGGACAATCCCTTGCTTTGTAGCTTTAGTTTACAATTGATTTTTTTTTCCAGAACAGCCGTTTTACGGAAATTATTCGACATTAGATTCCCATACAAACACTGTAATTTCTCACACGTTTCCCTACTCCTCAAGCTCGCGTCGAAAACCGTGACAAGGTCTATTTTTTTATTTTACGTACATCATTCATGCACCGACACGAACCACGTCAATCAGAAAATACAACGATTTGAACGTTTAAGACGATGTACTTTTGCTCCCACGCTCAGTCTTAGGCGTGGAGGTTTTTCCGTAGAAGCTACTGCTGCTTTCCAAAAATCAAAATGACCGGGCCGGAATCAGTCGGCGCGGTTTGTTTCCAATTCCATGCTGTTTTGTGGGCTGGTCCCTCATACACTACATTAATGGCACCCTAGCCTGTTCCAAGCGTTCAGATAGTGGAGAGCGGTGCGAAGTAAAGAAAGCGATAAAAAGTAGAGGGGGACTGGGGAGAGAGGTGAGGGAACGCTTGTAAGAATTCTTAACAAAAGTGCCTTCCGGTATACCAGATCCTGGTATACGCTCTGATTGGTTGATTTTGACAGAATGTGTCAACACTGGAGCGTCTTCGATCACATCGCGAAATGCGATATGGCGGCGATGACAGGCGCCTTGTCTCGTCAGGCAGCATTCGAACTCGCAGTAAACACAGCGCTGAATGACTTCCCAAACGTGGAGGCCATACGTGAAGAGCAGAGAAACTGTTTGAAACACCTAATCGACGGGATCGATGTGTTCGCAATTTTACCGACCGGGTTTGGAAAAAGTCTCATCTTCCAGCTTTTTCCTCGAATAAAGCGTGCTTTGGAAAGAAGGCAGGAGGGAATGCCATATACGATTGTTGTGGTAACTCCGTTGACTGCCATCATGAAAGACCAAGTAGAACATTTGAACAAAATCGGAGTAGCGGCTGCAATGATAGGCGAAGATATGGATGAAGCCGTTAAAAGTGGAAGCTATGAAATTGTATATGGAAGTCCCGAATCGTGGTTGTCGAAGGAATGGACCAAAGAACTTCAGGAAGGAAAGCTTGGAAAGCAAGTTGCAGCTATCGCTATTGACGAGGTTCACTCAATCACCGAATGGTAAATTTTCCGTTCAATTGTTGTGCATTTTCATTGCTCGAGTTCACGATCTGTATTGAAACGGCTTTCTATCGAAACGAGCGGTATTTGTCTGTCACTTTAATCAAAATTTTTGTCACGTACAACCTGAAGCCGTCTTAAACTAAAGATTACATGAATAATTCTCTCGCTATCTACTGTCCGAAAGTCTTAGTTTTTAGTGACATTAGGTATACATACTATTAATTTTTTGTTCAGAGAAATTTTGATTTATTCGCAAGAAATAATGTTTGAACCATGCAATAAATGTATGGGCATGTAGGTGAATCTCACCATTGCATTTAAATTGTCTAATGTCCTTTACTTTACGAGTGGTTGTCAAAAATATTCTCTTGCTTTATATAGGGGGATGTCAGAAGGAAGAAAAAAAAAAGAAAGATCCTTTCCGAGAAGCATTTTCAAGAGTGAAGGACCTAAGATCTCAATTACCAGGTGTTCCAGTGATAGCTCTGACTGCTAGTGTATTACTCAAGGAGAGACAAAAGTTAATCAAGGCAAGTGGAATGATAAGTCCAGTTATTGTTGATGTGTCTCCGAACAAGGAAAACATAACTTTGGATTTCCTTGAAATGAAGAAGGAGTCTTATTCAGGATCTAACCTTAAATGGGTTGCTGACATGATTTCAACTCATGGAAGACAAACACCTCAAACTATTATTTTTTGCAAGACATTCAACAGCATCTCCTTTGTTTTAAGCTATTTGCTCATGACTTTGCGTGGAAAAGCATTTGTAGACTCTGAAGACAAGGGAAAAGTAAGCTTGATTGGTGTGTATCATGCAAAAACATGGGACAAGGAGAAAAGTGAAATTGAACATGATTTTAAAGGAGATGGTCTCAAAAGGGTTGTCATTGCCACATGTGCCCTTGGCATGGGGGTGAACTTCCCTCATGTCAGGTATGTTATACAGTATGCCCCCCCAAACAGTTAAGTTGACCTGATGCAAGAAGCTGGTAGAGGTGGAAGGGATGGTCTCGAAGCTCATTGTGTAGTGTACTACACACGCCAGCAGTTGTCACAGTGCAGCAAGGATGTGAAAATGGTAGTAAACAGTGAGGGCTGCCAGAGAAAGGAACTGTATGGTTACTTCAGTGACTCTGATGTTTCTGTTGAGCCAGGCCACAAGTGTTGTTCGAATTGCAGAAAAGACTGTAAATGTGGAGGAGACAAATGTGAAGACCAACAGCCATTCCTTGCAGCAGATGGTGAAACTCCCTCCCCAGCAGACCCAGTGCGAGAACTTAGCGAAACTGATTTATTGGATTTAAGACTTTCATTAGAAGAGCTCCAGCAGCAGTATTCTGCATGCGGCCCATCATTATTTCATGCAGAGTCAACCCATGGTTTCAGTGATCAGCTAATTGGCAACATCTTGAAACATGCACCAAATATTAGCTCAGCTGAGTACATGAGCCAGCATTTATCAATGTTCTCTAGTAAGCATATCATGGATGTCCTAGAAGTTTTCCAGGAACTGTTTGAGGATGTAAACAATTACGATGAACAAATGGAACAACTGAATTTAATACATCATGAGGTTTGCCAGGCAGAGGATTATTTCCTTATGTCAACAACTTCTCAGGGTCTGTCAGAAATGGATGAATTAATGGAAGATACATTTGAAGATTACCATCAACTTCAAGAATTTGAATTGGTATTTTGAATTCCAGTTTGTTCAGATTAGTTAATAATATTATTCTTTTATTGTTTTCTGAATTAATTAACTACCTCTCATGAACAAGCACCCTCTCGCCACCCCTTTACCCTCCTTCCAAGGACACTTATTCAAGGAGCTACAGTAATTATCTGTTATCAAGGGGGTATCAGAATACTAAAAAGGTTCATCTAATAATATATTTTTTTAATGATATTAATGTTACAGAGACCTTACACATAGAAGCAGCTTGCTTCCACATTTTGTGTCTTCTTAGGCTGTTCCAGGTGTTCAGATAGCGGAGAGTGGTGCAGCCCTCCCCAGTTCCCCCTCTACTTTTCCTCACTTTCTTTACTTCACATCGCTCCCCACTGTCTGAATAAGGGGAAAAGGGAGAAAATCGGCTCAATTCGAAGTCCCATAGCTTAGAAAATCTATGCATCTTAAAAAATTCGGCAATCACGTGACCGTACACCGACCACCCCACCTTCCGTCCGTCCGCACCACAGGCATACCAATGTTTAATCTCACACTTTCTAGCTAGTTTGGGAGCCTGCAACCTGATATTGTACATCCATGTTTTGATTAATCGACAGCTGTCAAAAAAGTGTTTCTGCTGACCAGTATCGCCTGACCCTATCGCGGGCTCAGGTATCGACTCACTGAGTTTGAGTGTTTTTTTAACGTATCCGCTGACAGGTTGCTACTTTTCAATTATCGCAGGCTCAAGTTCATTTTTTTTAAAAAAAGCATATGAAATAAGTCGAGTTCATGAGCCGCACTTTTAAAATGTTGATTTCGAACTGACCTCGGACGCGAAAATTCTACCGGCTTTCACATTTAAATGCAGGGAAGCTTTTGACTTTTCTCACTGTCAAGCGTTGATCACGCTCTACGTCCAATTTTTATGTTCTGATTGGTCAAAATTTTGACAGGTGAGTTCATGCGGAAAATTTATGCAGCGTCTGGAAACTTGCTTACTGATAGCTGGAGCTTTCAGAGTTTTGTGTCATCTTGTGATGTTTTAAACTGGCTTTTTCTACTTGGTGTACAAAATGAAATACAGCTGTTATCAAGATTGTTCTGTAATTCATGGCTGGTTTGTTTATTGCGCTTTTTGTTGACAAATGCACCCCTTGTCAAAGTCATTGGAAATCCGATTTCGGATGGCGTCGTTTTCAAAATGAGCTTACTCACTTTCCCTTGCTTGAGGCGTAAGAGGGTTGAAAATTCTGGAACACTTGATGATCTTCAGAAGCAGCATCTCGACTGGTAAGCCTGAGAAATTGTTGTCTTTGATGTGTTTTTTTTTTCGATTTCCTGAAGTCGAGCGTATGGTTTATGCGGCTTAAGTTTATACACGAGCAATGATCTAACCTACAATAGTATCAGGCTTAAAAAGCCTTTAGACATTTTTTGACCGCAAATTCAAAGAAAATGTTCCGAAGATTATTTAGTTATGATTTTGGCTGTAAACAGAAAGCTCTGAGTGATTTTCTTGCCTCGAGTTCATCTTGAAAAAGAGTAAACACCGGGAAGCTGGCTTAAAACATAAATAAGCTTATGCTTACCTGACTCATGATTTTCAGAGACACTTTACTCTCAATACTTCTCTTCGTGAATGAAAATTATTGTCTCTGTACATGTTTCACCGAATTATATTTATTTTATTGATTGTTAGAAGTCCCTCTCGCAATTTTTATCGCTGCACCGGTTGTATCCAGTCAAACATAAACATCTCATGCAGGAATACTCAAAACGTCGCGGGTAAATATCACTCGCTTTTAAAGATTACACATAACAAAACCATACGCAGTTTAATAAATAAAGGGAAATAAAACCTAAACATAACAATTTATCTATCATGTTGAAGCGTAAATGGTAACTCTATTAATCGCACTGCAAATTTGGTGCCTGTCGGTCAAAAGTGAGACCCATCCGGCTGGCCGAAAAGTGATTTTGGGAATTTTTTTTATCGTTTTCATTAAAAGCCCATAATTATTACCCTGCATATCATAGGACCAGATTTTTCTAACTGAAAAGTCCTGGCATTATAGAATTCTCTTCATGAAAACGGTTTATAATTCAATGCTATAATTTGTTGTGCAAAGGAAGCGCGTGCTTTGATCGTCGTGGATATTGAATGAGTGCAAATTCTATTGCAAAATTGTGAAAAACTGCAGAATTATAGGTTTAAATAGGGCAAAAAAGAACAAATTCTGTCCGAGGTCTGTATGATAAAAACAAGGGCCTCACAGTACTGTTTAGCTGAGACGTGATGAGAAAAAGTATGTTTAAAAGGCTGGTTTACACGCCACCAGATTCGTCGCCAAGATTTACTAGTCAACTAAACTTGTCGAACACAAAAAATCCGCCCTGATTTTTTATTTTGGCCTCTCTTTTACACAGAGGAATGCAACGTGTCAATTGGCTGCCACCAAGGACTACTGTAATGAAGCTCCGTTTTCCCCAACAATTCACCAGACTGTGACCAAATTGTAACAGGTTGTAGACCCGGCTTACCTGAGGCTAAAATAGAATTTGTGTAGTCTGACTCTGGTTATTAAAATTTTGGCCACCATTAATTATAATCGTTATTACTTATAATCGTTTGAGATAAATGTCTTGAACACTGCTAGGTTCAGCAATGTCAAGAGTTTCCTGGTTGATGGTGCTGTGCTACAGTACTGTGCAAAAGTAATGAAACCGAAGTTCGCCGAATTTCGTCCTTTGTTTTCGCGAAATTTCGCCTTGAACCATTTAAAGTCTCTGTTGGCCACTAAGTGGAGCAGGAACGCGAGAAAAACCCTAGGAACGTCTTCGTGGGAGGCTAGTCTTCAATGACAAGTTCTTTTTATGAGGTTGTGAAGTAATCCGTAGAACAAAATCGTACAGTTATACTTAAGAGCCAGTCTCTGTAAGATCCTCATATCGAGTTTTGCCCACAAAATGGATTTCGCTCATAATTTTTCTGTAGACTTCTTTTAATAAGTATATAACAAATATGAAACTAGATTGGAGAAATTCGCTTCTGTAAATTTTTTTTAACGAATTTTCTTTCGGCGCCACA